TGGGTTAGCCTGTCTGAGAGTGTGGTGTTCAGTGCTGGGTTAGCCTGTCTGAGCTTGCTTTGTGCTTACAGACAGGCTGCAATCCTCTTAGCAACCTTTGCTAATGTTGGTCTTTTATGTCATTGCAGCTCCAGGAGTACACAGATCCCAACAAGAAGTAATTGATCATCGCTTGACAGACAGAGAGTGGGCAGAAGAATGGAAGCACCTGGATAATGTATGTGTGGGTAGATTACACGTACTGTTGAGGTGTAAGATTGTGTGATAGGGGTAACCTTGTGAGTTTGCTCTAAAATAAGCAGAAGCTAATTCAGGCTGAGAATGTTTTCAAGAACCTTTGGATACAGGATTCCTCTGGAATATCACCTCAGTGCCTCTTCTAAAGATCCCAGTCTGGACAATGATGGGATGGTGTAGGATATGTTAGTATCCAGCTCTGTCTCCACGACTGCCTCTCTCAAACAGTTGACTCTGTTTTTCAGACTTCTAAACATTGGAAAAACCAAAACTGTAGTCATTTTTTCCCAGCCACAAACTCTGATCCCTCGTCACCAGATTCAGCGCACTCCCCAGTCACCACCTCAGGCAAAACTGGACAGTTTGTAGCCTGGACGACCTGCCAATATATCCCTCATCATATGCCTCTTTACAGAGATACCTATTCACACCTCCACAATATCACCCTACCTCCGTCCATTTTTTGCTGCAATCTTCATTCATTTAAGATCTCCAGACTCAACTATTCCAATACTTTCCCTGCTCGATTACATTACCCAATACACTCTATTACAGAATCAGAACAACACACAGAAAGGCCATTCAGCCCATGGTTTGTATTGGGTCTCTGAATGAGCAATTTACTCAGTATCACTCTCCTGCCTTCTTGATGTAAGTCAGCGCAACCTTCCTCTTCAGATAACAGTCTACTTGCCTTCTGAGTGTTTCTATTCAGGCAATGCATTCCACCCTGTGACCACCTGCTACATGAAAAAATGTGCTTTGCAGAACACCTACACTCGGTTCGCGACAAACGACTGCACCTCCCAGTCGCGAACCATCTCAACTCCCCCTCCCACTCCTTAGACGACATGTCCATCCTGGGCCTCCTGCAGTGCCACAATGATGCCACCCAAAGGTTGCAGGAACAGCAACTCATATTCTGCTTGGGAACCCTGCAGCCCAATGGTATCAAAAACCAGCCCAGCTCGTCCCCGCCTCCCTAACCTGTCCTTCCTCCCACCTATCCCCTCCTCCCACCTCAAGCCGCACCCCCATCTCCTACCTACTAACCTCATCCTGCCCCCTTGACCTGTCCGTCCTCCCTGGACTGACCTATCCCCTCCCTAACTCCCCACCTACACTCACCTTTACTGGCTCCATCCCTGCCTCTTTGACCTGTCTGTCTCCTCTCCACCTATCCTCTCCTCTATCCATCTTCTATCCGCCTCCCACTCTCTCCCTATTTATTTCAGAAGCCCCTTCCCCTCCCCCATTTCTGAAGAAGGGTCCATAGAACATAGAACATTACAGTGCAGTACAGGCCCTTCGGCCCTCGATGCTGCGCCGACCTGTGAAACCAATCTGAAGCCCATCTAACCTAAACTATTCCATTATCATCCATATGTTTATCCAATGACCATTTAAATGCCCTTAAAGTGGGCGAGTCTACTATTTTTGCAGGCAGGGCATTCCACGCCCTTACTACTCTCTGAGTAAAGAACCTACCTCTGACATCTGTCCAAATCTATCACCCCTCAATTTAAAGCTATGTCCCCTCGTGCTAGCCATCACCATCCGAGCAAAAAGGCTCCCACTGTCCACCCTATCTAATCCTCTGATCATCTTGTATGTCTCTATTAAGTCACCTCTTAACCTTCTTCTCTCTAACGAAAACAGCCTCAAGTCCCTCAGCCTTTCCTCATAAGACCTTCCCTCCATACCAGGCAACATCCCGGTAAATCTCCTCTGCACCCTTTCCAATGCTTCCACATCCTTCCTATAATGCGGTGACCAGAACTGTATGCAATACTCCAAGTGCGACCGCACCAGAGTTTTGTACAGCTGCAACATGACCTCATGCCGCCGAAACTCAATCCCTCTACCAATAAAACCTAACATACTGTACGCCTTCTTAACAACCCTATCAACCTGGGTGGCAACTTTCAGGGATCTATGCACATGGACACCAAGATCTCTCTGCTCATCCAGACCTGAAACGTCAGCTTTCCTGCTCCTCTGATGCTGCTTGGCCTGCTGTGTTCATCCAGCTCTACACCTTGTTATCTCTTATTCTAATATTGTTTCTGCTTCTTTTCCCAATTACTTTAAATCTCTGCACTCTTACTCCTGTTCCATTCACAACTGGGATTAGTTCAAATAAAAGCGATACTGTGGATGCTGGTGCCTGAAATAAAAAACAGAAAATGCCGCGGAAAGTTGGTGGTCTGGCAGCATCTGTGGAGACAGCAACAGGGTTAGTGTTTTGAGTTCAGTGACCCTCCTTCAGAACTGAGAGTAGCTGGGAAATGGTGGTATTTATGCTGATGAGAGGGGTGGGGGGAGGGGAAAGAAGTGATCGGATAGGTGGAAGTAGAGCTCAGAGAGAGACAGGGAAAGTTAGGTTGACAAAGGGATGGTTTATAGTAAACCAAGGAAGGGGAAAAGCTGCTGAAGGGGACCATAAGTGAGTGAAAATGGTTTGGCTGTGTTGAAAGCAGCCATTTAATGACAGGGCCTGGTGTGTGGGGATCAGTAAAGGACTTGGACGAAACTGCTCAGGCCCAAAAATTGGCTCCCAAGCAGAAAGTGACATGCTGTTCTTCCAGTTTTGTGGAGTCATACCTAACTCAAAATGTTAACTCTGTTTCTCTCTCTACAGATGTTGCTAGACCTGCTGAGCTTCTCCAGCAATATCTGTTTTTGTTCCTACTTTCTCCAACCCATCTCCATAACTAAAGTTCCTCATCTCTGGAATTGCAGTGCCCAAAACTCCTCCTGCTCCTCTGATGCTGCTTAGCCTGCTGTGTTCATCCAGCTCTACACCTTGTTATCCTGGATAAGGTACTCCAGTTGAGCTTGAACCAATGTTTCATATCAGTTCAACACAGCCTCCTTCCTTGAGTACTCTATGCCCTTATTAATAATGCCTGGATAGTGTATGCTTTACTCATTTCTCTCTCAACCTATCCTTCAATATTCAGTGAAATATGCACATAGACACACATATTCTTCTGCTCTTGCACCCCGTTTAGAATTTTACATTAAATTGCCTCTCCATATTCTTCCCACCTAAGTAAATCATATGTACATTAGTGGGGTATGCAGGGTACTTTGATCCTAGTAGGATAATAGTTCGGCACAACACTGTGGGCTGAAGGGACTGTTCTATGCTGTACTGTTCTAAGTTCTATGTTTTATGTACAAACGTACAAATTAGGAGCATTTCTCCACATTGAACTTAATCTGCCACCTGCACTTCCATTGACCAACCTATGTCGTCTTGAAGTTCTACACCGTTCTCTCATAGTTCACAGTGCTCTCAGGTTTCGCATTGCCCAAAATTGTGGCATATACAATAGAATATCCTTTACTCTCACGTGTACTCCAGTATTGGTGAAAAGGTACAAATCTTGGATACAAAAGAAGAATAAAAGGAAAAGTAGTAGCATTACTTACAGTGTCTAAAAAACAGTTATAACTACCTTATAAATAGCTAAAGGATTGACATTACAATCCGGTAAAGAATTTCACATAGCGGCAGCTCAACACGTAGTCTGACCACCCACTACAGCCATCCCCCCCTCCCCTGGGCCAACAACTGTCCCACTCCGCTCCGGCTCTCAGCTACACCTGTGCTGCGCCGGGACCCCTTTCCCTCACTCTGCACCTCACTCTGCACCGGGACCCCTTTCCCTCACTCTGCACCTCACTCTGCACCAGGTCCCCTTTCCCC